GGCTTGTGTGCAGCTGCTCGGCCGTGAAAACTTATTTCATAAAGCTTCAGGTGGGCAGTTCTTGTGCTGATGTTGCTTCCAGAGTCAGTTTGAAACTCTGTAGTGAGGGAAGCAACAGAGGATAGGAGATTTTTACATACAGCGCACTTCAGCACTCGACGGCCCCACTCTGTGAGTCAGCGTGGTCTGACGCTTTGTGGCTGAGCTGTTGGCGCTCATAGAAGCTAGCAGGGCACAAATTACACAAACTGACTTGTGGTAAAGGTGTCATTTTATGACAGTGCCACGTTTAAAGACGCTGAGCTCTTCAGTACGACTTATTTTACTGCAATTGTGTGTCTATGGAGACTGCATGTCTGTGTGCTTGATTTTATACAGGTGTTAGTAATGAGTGTGGCTGAAACACCTGAACTCAATAATTAGAAGGGGTGTCCACGTATGTTTGGTCATACAGTGTATGTGCATATATTGGCATATATAAATATAAAAAAAAAGCACATGTATCACATATTTAACAACATCACATCTTGCACATATAGTGCGAATCCTTTTTTTTATATGACTAATTGTATACTTTTCATGTGGCATTGAAGGGATTGTACCTGCAGGCATTTAGTCCACACAGAATTCCAACAGAAATAACTAATATGACTTTATATAATGCTTTTGTTATCACCAGCAATACCTGTAACCTCTAAGTGTTTATATTTGCTGGCCAACAAAACCTTATTTATAATACAATTAAAAACACTTTGCAAAGTCATAAATGCAAATCCAGAAAACACGTTCATCAACACATCACATAGGAGGTACATTTTACAAACGCACTGCAAATAAAGAAAACATGCAACTTCAGAAACGCAGCAAAAGCCGGTCACAGACACAATGGAAGTGAGCCAGAACGCAATGGAAATGTTTCTGGAAGACTCAAAGGGGCGGAATATCTATGATGGAAAATTCCTGACAGAAGTAGATTAGACCACAGGCACTCACATCCAACATCATGGTTAACCTGGCTGGCTAGTTTGTTATCTGACATGTCATAGCTGTACTGTGGTAGTTCTCTGGTATTACTAGTTAATATTTTGCAGTTACACTCTACAGCTAATTCCCATTACCATACAGTGACGTCAGTAATCTGCTCAAATAAAAGTCAACTTACTTTTACTGGTGAATGTTTGTGCTGCATAGAATTTAAATTAAATAAAAAATGGAAACGAAGCAAATGTGTGCAACTATTCATTCAGTGAAAATAAATGTTCCATTTTATCAAGGAAATGGACCAAAAACTTAAATCAGACAGAAAGTGACATCGCAATCTTGTAAAGTGATTGGAAAAAAGTAGTTTTGCACACTATGTACTTTTTTAGGTACCTTAACAAACTCATTCTACTAGAGTCTATGAGAACTCAGTCTCCATCCTACAGTGGAACAGTAGAGATAACAGCATCTCTGAGACAGTTTCCAGCTCTCATGAATCTTTCGGGAAGAGAAAAAGATTCTCAGAGTGAGTCAGCAAGAAAAACTGACCAAAACAGCCACTTGAAGAAGACAGGAGAAATGCCAGATAAAGGAAGAGCAAACTCAAATTGATTTTTTCTTCCTCCAAACCTGTAATTATTGAACATCATTCAAATGACCAATACTGTCTCTTCTACAAAGCTACAATGTATGAAAGTGAAGAGAAGTGGGCAAATAGTCATCTCCTTTAAATCCTTTATATCAGCCTGTGTGATTCAACAACCACTCATAAGAGTCAGCTTAAGACTAAAGTTTATTCTTTGGCTTTAACTAGTTGTGGTCATGTCTGTTGTGCTTTCGTATTAGTGCCAAACATCACCTATAACACGATGTTGAAACACCATAATGTTGCCTTTTAAGATTGTGCAGTATTTTAGTGATACATCTGATAATAAACTTCATATCCCTGATATATAGTACTGTGCAAATGCCAGAGAGCCAGAGCCATTTATTTCATTTCCGCTCATTTTCCAGTGATTAAGTTATTTAGTAGATATTTCTGAGGAGATTAGATATAAAATAATCCACTTAGAAGGATAAAGTCAAAGGAAAATGCAGTGTTTCAAAACTAGAGAAAATGAAAACCCCATCAGATAAACAGCACTTAAAGCTTTCATCTTTGAGAGACAGGAGAAAATCAAGCCTCTTCAGATCTGAAAACATCCACAGGTGTTTCTGTCCATCCTTCCACTGTGAGAAGACAACTCAGCGCTAAGAGTCTGAAAGGATGTGTAGCTGTCAAGAAGATGCAAACACAAACAAAGAAGCTGCTGGTAATGTCAGATTAATGGACAGACCATCCCAGAGTCCAGACCTGAACATCAATGTTAGTTTTGACTGGAAATTAAATAAATAAAGGGTGGTCTCTGACTGAAAGTGCTGTATTTGAGGTCCGTGCACAGACTATTTAAGGGGGCAGGGGCTGATGTGGGAAAAAAAGGGCAGTTTACACTAGGACATTAGTATATACTGAGACATATTTACAGCCAAGATGGTAAAACGTTACTTCAATAAATAGACAAAAAGTGTTGTGGCTCCCAAAGTGGTTTGATTTTTGTTGAAATTACAAAATGGCTCTTTTTAACATTTGAGTTGCCAACGCCTAATCTAGTATCTTGCAACTCAAAAGCTTACAAGCTCCATCAAGCCTCGCATAAATTATTTTTAATAGATCCAGTTTAGCAAGTTCTTAGCACCCCGTCTGTGTCTGTTTTGACGGGTTTTGCTTGTTTTAGCTTTATTTGGTGTTTGACATCTTTTTATCTGTGCATATTTCCCTTAATTTTAATATTTTATTGTGAAGCACTGCTGATTTTCACAATCATTCAAGTATACTTTTAGTCATTCATTGTTTCATGGTGTTTCAACTCCATGTCTAATGGCTCAGCCTTTACATATCCTAGTTTAACAGGTGTTGTGATGTCATTGATTGACATCTTAACAATAGCAGAACCTTTCTGGTGCTATACAGAACCACTTTCAATAGGGTTCTAAATAGAATTATATAACACATTCTCCATCAATCTGAAGAACCATTTCATGACACAAAGAACAAATTGCAAATGGTTCTTTATAGAACCTCTGTCTTTACTAAAAAATCCTTGAAGAACTATGTTTTTAAAGAGTGTAGCATGCAGAGACAGATAAAACTGTCACCAGTGAGGAAGCTAAATCAAACTTTCAGTCTTCATTCATACTCAGGAGGCCTATTTCATGTGAGAGGAGTTTTATTAAATTTCATGGCTTGTGTAATTATGATGTTTACAGTTTTATTCATGTCATTATGAGATCAGTGCTGAGAATGTTAAATAATAACACATGAATTGAACAATATTGTTCCTACTTTGTTGGCACTCAGGAAGGAAGACGGGCTCCACGCCTCCTAAATACCACATAACCCCCTGGAGTTATGCTATTCTTTAGCCCCCCTGCAACATGGGGTAAATAATATTATTATATGAATACTGCTAGTGCCCAGCCTGAGGCCAAAATAGAAACTCTCTATATTCCACTATACTTTGCTTGCCAGTCTTATATTGTCTATAAAATGTTGCTCGTACACTTTATAACCAAAAGTGTCCAGACAGACTTTCTAATTGGTGAATTTAGGTACTTTCAGGTGTATTTATTGCTGACACAAGTGTTCAATTGCACATAGACAGCTTGTACAATCTCCATAGAAGAGCGCTAACCAATAGAATGGGACACTCTGGAGTGTTCCAACATCTAGTGTAAAGCCTTCCTATGACAGCTACTGCAGCAAAGACAGGGGACAAGCTCAGATTATATTAATACCCTTGATTTCAGAAGAAATGCTAGAAGAGCAGGTGTCTACAAACTTTTGGACATGTATGCAACAAAAACAACATAACGACATTTACCCAAATAAGGACTCAAGGGTTTAAGTCCTTTTTATCCATTGAAAAATGCCGTTTTCAAAAATTGCTTTCGCACATTGTGGTAAACAAAAATATCTCAAAGCTGATTTGGCTTATGTACATGTTTCCCCCAGATGTCAGCAGGTCCTCTGAATCACAAGGTTGTTACGTAGTTGAAATATGATGGTAAATGAACATAAAAACCTTCTGATTTCTCTTGGCTATTTTTGACTAATAACACACTTTTCTAATGTATTTTTTATACACTTTTCCAATGTCCAATGTCATTTCTTTCATGAAAATAGTAAGCCGACAGCCTAATTTTGGCCAAAGTATTCTTTTTTTTAATTCCTTCCTTTTTAAGTCAAGTCAAAGTATCTTCATATAGCGCTTTTTACAACAGGCATTGTCGCAAAGCAGCCTTACAGGCAAATCTGGGTCCGAGCCCCCATGAGCAAGCCAGTGGCCACAGTGGCAAGGAAAAACTCCCTAAAAGCAAGAGGAAGAAACCTTAAGAGGAACCAAGACTCAAAAAGGGAGACTCATCCTCCTCTGTTCAACACTGGATAGCAAACAATAACACAAGCAAAATTAACAGAGGATAAGGTTTTAATGTTAGTATCAAATATTATTATTATTTTTTTAAGTTTTTAAGTTTTCTTTCCTGCAGTTTAATAAATATCTGTTACGGATACTCAAATACCAAGATTAGTCAGAACTCATCTTTTGTTAATGTTACAATAGTGTTCAATGCTATACTCAACCATATTATTTTTACTGAACTGAAGAAATGGTGCTGGAGAGTGTGTAGAGGTCAGAGAAAACGTACAGCTGGGCTTCGGCCTGTACTACTATAGAAGGTTTAATCATTTATTATTAACATGTTAACTTTGACAGTTCTAGTTATAACTGTGCACAGATTTAGCTGCTCTACTGGCTGGTCTTTTTATAGGCTGCTGCTGCCAAAGCCACTTACCTACCACACTTCACAAACCTGATGGTTTGTGCAGGTGGAGTGAGGGGAGATCTCACTGTCTGAACTACTGCTGCCTCTTATAACCACTTCAGCGGTCAACAAAGGGATAAACTGCACAGACTTACCTCTCTCCATTCTTTCGTCCCAATTCCCTGCACATACAAAACAACCACTGGAAATAATGAGAGAGAAAAACAATCAATGATCTTGGTGTAAATAAGTCATCCAGCCATTCATTATGAATTCAGGAGAATCGCCGGTCAGGGAGAAAATCTTCGACTAGACCAATTACGACAGGATAGCATGTTTATATTTGCAGTCAGGTCTAAGTCTAAAAGTAAAAAAGCAGGTAGAGCTACAAATAGGCCGGTGATTAGAGCCAGCTAACGAGGGGAGAGAGGGGAAATAGCATCTGGAGTCTAGAAATTAAAGATGATGAAAAACAGCGAATGGCTATCGGACAGATGGAGGAAATCAGACCCATGTACTGAAATGAAGAGAGGGCTGGGAGAAGTGTGGCGCCAAGTGGGTATGGGCTGTCAGACTGATTGCAGGCTTTATGGGTTGTGACTGATGGGGAGGATAACTGAAAACTCCAGTTTCTGCTGGTTGGAGCCTGGAACATCAGGTGAGAAAATCCATGCAATCAATTATTCTATTCACTCCTATTCATTAGACAGACAGGGTTCCAACACCAAAGAGCCTGGATTAACTGCAGCGCAGGGGGCATTAATTAAGCAAGGAAAACTTGAGAATTCAAGTTCCCCAGCAAATTAATCACTGTTTGCAGTTTTAAAAAAAATCTACAAAGAAGATTCAACAAAAAAAACTGTAAGGCCAGGGCTCAGCCAGGAATCAAATTTATACAATTTTGCCTGTTACCGTAAATATAGTTGATCAGTCAAGATATGTTTAGTATCTGAAGTTTGCTTCTTTAATTTTGCACTGGATCTAGAAGGCTAATCTAGCTAACAAGTAATAGAAGATAACGTACACTAGGGCTGCAACGGATAGTCAATAAAACTTGATAGTTAAATAAAATAAATACATTTTCAAAAAACAAAAAGTAGTTTGAATATCAGACTTTTACCCGTTTTATGAACGTGTGTGATTCAGTGCATCAGTTTTAGTCGTTTTTTATTATTATTATTAAATCTTGGCACAAATAAAGTTCAGACAGGGGGAGAGAGTGGGAAAAAAATTAAATAACCAAAAAAATAAATAAACTGAAAAACATATATAAAACAATGAAATAAACTGATACAGAGAAATATTATTAAAATAAGGGAGACAAGAAAGACAATACAATAATATTAAACAGATTATTTACACAAAATGCCACATCAGAACACAGCTTCCAGGTTTTCACAGCTTTCTTATTACATGAGGAAAATAAAGATTTCAAATAATACTCCACATCTTTAAAGTGATAAAATAGGTGTACTAATAGGTAGCCTTTATTTATGTCAGTCACATAGTCTTTTCCTGTGAGAGCCACAGTGATATCTCAGCAGTGGTCAGAGGAAAGGCTGCTGAGACCCCATTCTTACCTTTAATTTGAGGTGGTAATGTTGGTGGTAATCTCCTGTTGCAGTCTAAAGGCTCTTCCTACTGCTCTGGATCACTAGCTAGCATACTCTGAACTGCATTAATGTCAAAGAATAAACGATAGACAGCTGTCCGTCTGGAGCAGAAAGAGATGTATTGAAACTGTACTGGTTGTTAAGACTATACAGCTGAGTTTAGCACATGCGCTCAGGTATAAAGCGGTTTTTGAGCAGCTTAAACTTGGTTACATAGAACCTCAAACATGATCAGTCCTTCAATCACTGAACAAACAGCTGTTTTCCTTTTTTGAGACAGTGTGGTTAACAAGATGTTGCTTTCTCTGCTTTCCTGCTCTGCTCATCACCGACACGCTCAAACAGTCTCAGCAACCTGGTCAGAGCTGCCAGATTGGACGGGATCCCTCTGAATAGCATTTTATGCTAGTTGCTGTGGCAATAATTGTTTAGTTGTTTATCAGTGATGTTAGGGCTGGGCAATATGACAATTTATGTGTCTATGACAAATAAGGTTTTTCAAAATGAAATAAAAATTTTAATTATTAAAAAGAACATGATGTGCATTTTCCTCACACCTCAGTATCTACATATATTTACAATTATATCTATGTGCATTTTATGTTTTAAATATAATTAGTGTTATCAAAGCTTTTAATTGCCTTTAATTTCAGTTATTGAAACTGTATTGGTTGCACCATTTGACTAATAATGGTTGTGCCACCTGACTTTTCAGACTAATTTCAAATTAAACAGGCATCTACTTAGACAGCTGAAGAAAGACTTTTGTCCTTGAACTTGGGTTTATACTTAGATTTTTTCAAATAAATAAACATTACAACAATTACACATTATAAAGGCAAATTTTCCTGAGCTCAGACCACCTGACATGGTATACTGAACCATTCTAACCATGACTCCAAAAAAAAAATAAAAATCCCCAATATTTTTGACTGACATTGGTATTGCGCCATGAAAGTCATTTGGGGTCTTCTTTATAATGCAGTACACTGGCCCCTCTTTCGTAAAAGCATTTCAAAATAAAAGTCCTTTGTTTTCGGCTGTGCTGCCTGACATTTGAGGAAGAAAGAATTTGTGGACAAATGTTTTTCAGTGAGTCAAGCACTTTTAAAGCTGTCTTATTTTTGCAGCATAATTTTTATTTTAGAGTTTTCAGAGAAGAAATCAGGCCAAACAATTTTATTTAGATTTTTTTATAGCTATATGACCTTTTTTATTTTAAATCATCAACATATATTGTTGGATGAATTTACATGGATGAACTGAAAAATTTTAACACGAAAGAAATATTGTTCAATAATTTGATATATGTCATGTATTTATTAAATTATTTTTTGGCAAAGTAATGCACTTGAACACAAAAAATGCACATCATGTCATTGACCCATTTATCGTTATTGTGATAAATTATAACACAACACAATACAATACAATATGCTTTTGTGAACATAGAGAGGATGTCATCAGTACTTATAGAACACTGACCAACTGCATGTTTCATTATAAAAAAAAGGCAAAATTAATCTCATTTAACTGCATTTAGTGCCAAAAAGTAAATAAAAATTGTGTTCACAGTTTTTGATAGTATTTTTCAAAATGTAACATTACTGGTTCTTTTTTCTGTGTTCCAACTGATCAGATGTCTAAAAAATAAATATTGACATATATTGACATATATTGTGTATTGTGATAATTTCTTGAAGTATTGAAGTATCGCAATATTAAATTTTGCCATTTTGCCAACCTCTAAGTAATGTTTTCCATTACCTTTTAGCACTTAAGGTTTCACTAATGTACACTAGTTAGCATCCTCACATCCTAAATCTTTGCCTCAACTGTGTTATATTTGTTATTTATGTGGTTTATGACACTATATGACATACTGTTACACTGTCAGAAATAAAGGTACTAAACTGTCATTGGGGCAGTACCCCTCTTGTCACTGGGGTGGTACGCTCAAGGGTACATCTCAGTACCTTTAGTCAGGGAAATTGTATCATAATTCACTAAAATTTTCTAAGTTGTATTGACTCCACACAGCCCATCTCATCTCCAGGCTTTTTATCATTTTGTTTTAAAAAGTTTTGGTTCTGAAAAGGTACAAATATGTATTTTTCACCTGGAAAAACTTATTTAAGGTTCAAAATTGGACCTTAAAACCACCGTTGTACCTTTGAGGAAACATTTACATTGTTTGTATTTTGATGAACGAAAAATGTACCTGCACAGTGCTTTTATTTCTAACAGTGTATTTATAAAAATGACAAAAGAACATCAAAAAGCTCAAAAAAAATAGTAGCTCTAGTAGCCAGAATTTTGTTTGTACTTTGATAACAGCATGTTATATAGTGTCAGAACCCACTAGTCTGTTTGGGATTACTTAACAAGTCATTGTGGTTTATAACAAGGCACCTAGTTTGCACAGTGCTGACCTATTGCTCGTTAGCTACATTAGCCTCTTAGTTCCAGTGTCCAGTTCTTTTGTAAAACTAAAGAAGGTTCAGACACCAAACATATCTTGGCTGACTGAATACAGAAGTTTTTACATTTGATTAATGGCTAAGTCACTGCTTTAATTTTAAGAATGAATCCTCGCTCAGGTTTGAGTAGGTGTTTCTAAGGCAGGTTCCCAAATTTTCCCCTAAAAGATTTCCATAATAAAAGAACAGCTGCACCTTCATTAAAAGTCTAGAGGAGACTAAGCCAAGACAAAGCAGCGTCGTAGCCTTTTTGCTTTTCAAATCCTACGTCATTTCCCAACACTCGCTCATTCTTGTGGCCTAATTTGGCTTAATGTGCTGCTAGAAGAATGACAGAATGAAGGATGAAGAATAGCATGGGGGGAGCGGGGGTCAGCAAGCAAGGCATTGTGGGAAACACATGGTGATTTGAAAGGTGTGTTCTCTAACTGGTTGCACAGTGTTTTTCTGAAGGTAGAAGAGTCTGGCCTGCACATCATACATGAGCGACAGCTTTGTGATTTCACATAATCATTGACTTCAGCATAAGAGTCTCCTTGACTCTTTCATTTATGACCTTGAGAAGGTCACCTAAGGAGCTTTTAATGAGATCGAATCAAGACACAAATTACTACGACTCAGACGAGGTCAGCCAAGCATTTAATTGCCCCAAGCATTAGGGTGGATTATTAATAGGGGAAAGAAAAGGAGCACCTCTGACACACTAGGTCAGGATCTGTTTTTGGAGGTTTGGGATTATATTTTAAAGGGTGAATGCCCAGCCTTGAGCTATCTTTAAATTAATGGAGAAAATCACAATTAAACTCCAAGGCCAAGCTGTACATAAGTTAAATACTGTACAATAAAAAAAATAAATAAAATTAAAGAGCTGCAGTAAAGAAACTAATTTACAGTACTGTGTTAAAGTCAGAGACCACCTTATATATTTAATTTCCAGCCAAACCTGCCATTAAGTTATTCATTTTTCAGGAGAAATTGCTGAGGAAATCAGACATAAGACTGCATGTGCATAAGAAAGGAGACAGTCAAAGGAAAACAAGACATAAAACAGGAGTTTTCAAAACTGGAGTTAAAAAAAAATGATAAAACCTTCAGAGAAAACAAGACTCCCATCAATCACCTGCAAGACGTGGTAGACCACCAAAACTGTCCCTGTCAGATAAAATGTAGTTACGTTATAACTGAAGTTTGGGGGGAGGAACATGGCTGAAACCCCTCCTTCTCCCAATCTAACACCCTAAGAATTCACAACCTCACCTTCCGTTCCCGTGACAAAGTGTTCACAATCCCCATCGTCACCCCATCTCCTCCCTGTTCCTTAGTCCTGCATCAGTACTACAACAGCTATAAGGGGAATCCGGCCTTCTAGATACAGACAGAAGCTGACCAAAACTCCAGTCAAAGTTCTCAGAGCTCTCCCCCCTCCCTCAATCAGTCTTCACTCATAACACCACCACCATGTTGAAGGCATGGTCTGAACTCACAAACAGCACTTAAAGCTTTCATCTTTGAGAGACCATCCTTCCACTGTGAGAAGACAACTATGCTATGTCTCTGAAAGGATGTGTTGCTGTCAAGAAGAACCTCACTGAGAAAAGGTAATAGAGAAAAAGAAGAACATCTGCACTAGAACATTGTAAACTGGACACCAGAGATGTTAAGGTTTTATAGACTCATTAGTCTAAATTTTACATTAGTCTAAAGTAGATCTTTGGAAGTAACAGGAGGCAGAATGTGCACCACCAAAGCATTGAAAGACCCTTTGGACCATGTCAACAATCATCAATCAATCATGAAGGATCAGTCCAGGTTTGCAGATGTATAACAACATCTGGAGTTGGTGATTCGCTGTTGATTGAAGACATCATGAAGGCCGATGAGGCTGAAGCTGCTGGTGTTCTCAGAAAAATGGACCACCCCAAAGTCCAGAACTCAGCATCAGAAAATGCTAAACCAACTTCTAAGACTGAACTTTCAAGGTGTAGAAAAATATCCCTGCAGATTTCTTTGAAAAACTGAAAGCAAGTCTCCTGAAAGGAATGAAAGCTGTAATAAGGGCAAATGGGGGACAAAATGGGGGACTAAATATTAAAAAATCCATATATCAAAATCTGTATAGTTAAATTTGGCTGTTGTGTGTAATTTTCTGTTAAATATTTGTTTTCTGCTTGATGCTGAAAAATGAGTAAAGAACTTGGTTTGTGGCTTGTGGAAATGAAATAACCTGAAAAGTCTCTGACTCCTGCACAGCACTTAACATGAATTTGTCTAGTTGGTTTAAACCAGTTGAGCAGCTCAATTTGTTACTAATGCACACATACAGTGGACCGTTTTGCATAACCAGTTTAAATATATGCAACATTTTAAAGGAATTAACTGAAACTGAGATAATTATTAAGTAACTAACATCAAGGTAAAGCACACCATGATAACTTTTTTACTAAACGGCTTGTGTTGGCCACCACAGGCACATAAACATGGCCGTAAGTATTCTGTATTATCGCTGTTGAACCTCAAAACCATCTATTTTTTATGAGTATTTTTTTTTTGGGGGAATTTGAAAATGCCAGTTGCTCTTAACACTGCTTTAAAAAATCACAATGAACGAACCACAAGAAGTGATCCAAAACTAATCCAAATTAGCATTTCTCAACCAAAATCCATGACCAGTGCACAAGTTGCTAACAAGCTGACACATTTCACTCACCTGGATCAGACTTGGAGAACGTGTCCACGTCCAAAAGGTTCCTATGGAAACATAAAAAAAAAACAAATGAAAATGCTACTTTGACAAAATGGGGTTAAGGATGTAAAGAGAAGGACTCACGAAAAGACCCTCATTAACATCTCTGAGGCAACATGGTATCCATGACTATAGAAGCTTGAATGGCTTGTATACATAATGAATAGAACTGCATTATGCTCTCCCATCTCTAGGCTTTTTTGGTGTCTTGTTGTTGCTTAAGATGATAAGTAGAGATCTGCAAAGATTGCCCAGAGGAAATGCAAGTAAATGGGCAAAACAGATGCACTCAAAAATGGATAAACTGTAATTACAGACTCTCCACTTTCACCGTGCTCTTTAAACGGTTTTCTTGAAAACTACAGCATTAGCGATAATGGTCTTTTCTCACTCTTATTTCTGAAATTGAAGCTTTTTCTTAAGAGTCAAGGCACCTCAAGAGAACATTTTTAGTTAAGAAGCCTCCATTTGAGCACTATTTCAGTGAGTGGAGTCATTTGGGGTTAGGGTGGGCAAATAAGGACCACCAGATGCACCTTGTAAAGTGCTGTTCAGAGCAGTGCTATAGATTAATCACTATTGGTTTTCTAAGGATCTTTTGAGTGGGTGGTTCTTTAAAGGACTATATACAACAGTTTCTGCCTCATAGAGACCAGCAATTTAACTGTGCAAAGAACGTTTTTAAATCCCGAACCCAGGGGCCAATTCAGGCCTGTCACACAGTTCTATGCCTATTTATAGTTTTGGCATATTTTGAACCATTCGGGTCATGGCAAAATGTCAAGTAAAATGAAATAACACAGCTTGCCCAGGGATTTGTGGAGATTTTTTAACATGGCCCTTTTAGTGGTTTGAGCTTGACACCCCTGATATAAATGCTCAAATTATTCTTTGAGTCATCATGGTTCTACAATACTATGCAAATATCAGAGACCACCCTTTGATCATTTAATTTCCAGGCAAAACAGCCATAAAGTCATTTTTCAGTGTCAGGAAAAAGCAGAAATCATATATTTAATGGAAAAATACACAGAAGCCTCAACAACTAAATATAATGTCAAAACTTTGATTATTTAGTTTGTCTGCTTTCTGTCTTTATTACAGTTTCCATTCTTTTCTGGAGCCTCACTGCAGGGATGTCTTTCACACTTTCAAAACTCAGTCTTAGAAGTTGCTTTAGCATTTTTTGTTTCTCACAATCCAAATAACCCCAAACACATTCAGTGATGTTGAGGTCTGGACTCCTGGGTGGTCAGTCCATCACTGAGTTGTCTTCTCACAGTGGAAGGATGGAGAGAAACACCTGTGGATTTTTTCAGATCTGAAGCAGCTGAATTTTCTCCTTCTGTGAAAGATGAAGGCTTTAAGTGCTGTTCATCTGATGAAGACAGTTGGTGGTCTACCAGGTCTTCCAGGAGGCTGTTAGGAGTTTCTTCTTCCTTATGTATGTGGATTATCTTACATCTCACCTCCTCAGAAATCTCTCCTGAACAATGGATCGCCTTTAAGGTTGTAGAACCATTAATTTATCCAGGAACCACTGAGGAACCTATTTTTAAGAATCTAGTCAGACTACTGTACTCCCGTACATTATCTTGAACAAGAACAGTGCATTTGAGAGGTGGACAAGAGACAAGAAGGAAGACAGAAAGAGGGAGGAGGGACGATAGCCATGCAACCCAAGAGGGAAATGTGTTCCATCCATCCTCTCTCAGCTGGGTGCTGATATGAGCTCCAGAAGGCTGCCTGAGACATCAGGTGTGACTCTGCCTGTGACGTTTCACCTCAAGATAAACAAATCTCAATCCTTCCTATCACAGCAGGAGATTCTTCCACCCAATTGTGCTGAGCTGAGAACATTGATGGATGTGTCTGAACAGACTGTAGTAGTAATAGTGCTGCTTGTTTTATAGGAATGGACAGTTAAAGTGGTGCTTCAGCCAGAATCACATTTACAGTTACTGTCTTATCCTGAATATAGTCAGTCAGCCAAGATATGTTTGTGTCAGATCTTTGCTTGTTTAGTTTTGCACTGGAGCTTTAATAAACACTAACACAAAACAAGGGGAGGACATTGCATATGAGGAGGGTGGACACACACACACTCACAAAACCCACCCTTCTCACACAGTTTTAACAAACACAACTACACTACAAATAACCCCTACAACAACACCGACAGCAACAATTATTGCAAACATAATCTAGTGTAAATAGTGACATGCGGCCGTGTAAAGAGTAGTTAGAATTCAGAACACCTGTTGTCTAAACCCCTGACCATAGTGTTCAGATACACTGTGAAGTTTTGCTCATGTTTTATAGTTAACAGTAAACTATGTTGTGCCCTAAACCACATCAACAAGTCTTCACTACCCTGACTGGATGCAGTTTGATCGGGCATTGAGAGACGTTTTGGGGTTGTATTTATGTAAAAGATTTGGGTGACTATTGACTTTGACTGAACTACTGACAGTACATTAAATTTAAAGCCTGAAATAATCATTTAAAAGTCAGAGATGTCAGTTTTTCGGACCACATTACATGTCTTTATTTATTAACGTCACATGCACAGTCAGAAAGGAACTCCGGCTCAATGTTTAGGTCTCAAAAGCAAAATCAACATTATACTGATGAAGATATGAAGACTATAGCAGAACATTCACTCACATCCTCGGAAGACACGTCCTTCACCAAGTTTTGACTGAATTCTCTTTCAACACGTTCACAGTCATCAGATTTATCCACTGAGGGAAGGGGTCCGAAGCACAACCCAAGCTACAAAATGTTCATCTGCACATTGCGTGCAATTACACACTTCCACCAGAGAGGTCTCCATATGCCCAAATCTTACATAGTGCAGCTTTAATGTAAAAGAATTTTATTTCAAGTGATTTTGGAGCATTTCTATTGGTCCATTCTCTGAGAAACGTTTCACACACTGGTAACGGAGATACAACAGGGCTATGAAAGACCTTTTATGAAAAGTGTGTTGTACATGGTTCTTTAAAGAACTTTTTGAAAATGGTTCTATATAGCACCAAAAAGGGACAACAGCAACAACAATTAAGCCTTTTTACACTGGGAATGTGAGCGCACTCTGAGAGCCACTTTGCATGGTCACACCCCTGAGCTTCCCACAGCAGTGCGCCCCACGGTCGGACACTGCAACATCAAACCACTCTGAACGACTTTGTTTACATCTCAACCGTTGAATTATACAGATTTTTTGAACAAATTGGTGTAATGCCCTTTTAACCATCATGAATGGATATCCACTCTCAGTATTTTCAGTAATAAACAAATCAGAGATCAGCTAGAAGTTTGGAGCTTGTTAGGCACCATGTTGCCCATTGTGATTCTCCTCCAAACTCCCCACACTGAGTGACAGAGAGGCAGGAAGGCATCTGGTGTGCCCTGTGATGACAGCTACAAACAAGCTTGATGAATTGGCTTCCCTCGCGAAGTGCTTTAACAATTTGGCAGCACAAAGCACTGAGGGGAAACAGAGCTTCACATTCATCTCCTACATATAACCGAGAGTTTGTTCTGAAAAACCATATAGACTAGATATGTTAGGATTCCAGTCAGATGGTAATTCATAACCTGAGCTCAAAGCCTGAATGAGTGAGATATCAGGTAAGGTGTTGATTAGTGAGATGAATTGTTGCTGCATTCAACTACACTCTTTTAAAGAAAGGTTGCCAAGTGGCTTGTGGGTCAGATATACAACCCAACTGCCCATGCTTTACCCACAAATGTGTTCTTTTGTAGCCAGAATCGACGAGCTTTACAGAACATCAGAAATCCTGTTCTGTACGTTTCAGATTTTAAATGCTACAGTACCACACAGGACAATATTGTAGTTACACATCTTAAAATGATGGTTCTTCAAGAGTCCTTTAGTAAAGAAAATAGCGCTATATAGAACCATGAACACTCAAATGGCCCTTTATTTGATTAAATGGTTCTTTGCATCATGAAATGGTTCTTCAGACTGATGGAGAATGTGCTGTAGATGGTGGTATAGAGAACCTTTTTAGCCATTTAGCACCAAAAAGTGTTCCTCTATTGTCACAAGCTTGACATTATAACAATAAAACTCTTTTGGTGCTTTGTAGAACCCTTCTCGAAAAAGGTTCTATATAGCACCATCAACACTCCCCATCAGTCTGAGGAACACTTTCACGATGCAAAGAACACTTTAATCATGCAAAGAGTTCTTTGAGTGTTCATTATTCTATATAGAGCCATTTCCTTTACTAAAGAACACTTGAAGAACCATCATTTTTAAGATTGTACTTCAAACCAAGCAGGATTAAAATGCTAACACGTAAAAGTCAAAAAAGACAAGACATGATCTATTCTAACCATGTGACCCTTTACACATATTACGAAATAAGTTGCATGGACTCCATGCCATAGACGGTCTTGACTCCAGGCCTTTTATTTTTTAATTAAAAAAAGTTACAATAAGAACACATACAAAAATGCACCCTTAAAACCCATTTAACGCACACAATCGAACCTTAAATTAATGATTCAGAAAAACCCAATTGAATTCTGACTCCCCTTCACATCCAGGTGATTTCTGATGTTTCCTTTAATGATTAACTGTGAATATTACATTTCCGAAATGAAGCTATGTTTAAACAGGAATTGCAAATGTAATCTAGTGTCAGTGTGCCTGCATGACATGGGTAGTTAGAATTCAGGACAGCACCTGTCATCTAAACCGGCTGACCATAGTGTTCAGATACACAGTGAACTTTTGTGCATTTTTATAGTTCACAGTGAATCATACAGTGTCCGAAACAACATCAACAAGTCTTCACTACCCTAACTGGATGCAGTTTGATCGGGCATTGAGAGACGTTTTTGGTGGTGTATTTATGTAAAAGATTCAGATGACTATTGACTTTGACTGTACTACTAACTGTACATTAAATTTAAAGCCTGAAATGGTTGTTTAATGAACCTATTTGAAAATGGTTCTGTATAGCACCAAAAAGGGATATGCTACTGTTATGATGTCAAGCTTATAAAAATATGTGGTGTTATATACTTTTCAAAAACATTCTATATAGAGTCATATAGAACACAACTATTTCACCATGCAAAGAACAATTTAATCATGCACATTGTTCTCTATAGATGTGTTTCTAAATAGAATCACTGCCTTCACTAAAGAACCCTTGAAGAACCATCTTTTGTTAGTGTGCAGCATAGAATCTCTACATTTTTAAAAAGGTTGTGTACATCTAATTTACAAAGGTAATTCTTCAAAGAATCATCTCTTAAATGGTTCTCTAGGGAACCAGAAGTAGTTCTTGTAAGTCACTGCATGAAAAACCTCTTTTTGGCACTATTTAACTAGTAGAACTGGCTTAATTTGAGTGAACAGCGTTACTCCAACACTGTCCTTTAACATTACAGCATAAGTTAAGCAGCAGGATCACAACTTTGTTGTTCAAAACAGTTTTTGCCTTTAAAACAACATCCAATAAAGAGATGGGAAATTGGTTTCACCCTGGTGGAATGAAATGCAATCGCTCTGCTGCATATTCTTCTTCACTCGTCTGCTTTCTCCTTTGTGCCGAACTACGATTTGTCACTTGAACATCCTGAGATGACTACCATCCCAATCCAATAAACACCATTTTTTGCCTTGAAACTCAGCAGGCACTCTTTTGGGGAGCTGCACATGTGTCTTCTGTCAAAAAAAAGCCTTCCTGCGACATCAGGGAACGCATCAAGTGAAGTTAAGGCTTTATGCAAACACAAAGGCGGCATCAGCAGTCAACACATTCATTATTCAAGAGGGGATAAAAGGCCGGGCTGGCGGTTGGCGCCAGCTGCGTCTGTCCAGCGAGGGGACAAGCACAGCGAGAGCGGAGGTCAGCCAGGCACTTGCCATTTAAAGCTGATCTCAGATTAGTTCTGCATCTTTTTTTCTCATCATGGCTAAAGGTTAGGATGTAGGTAAGAAAGGACGGCTAGCGTGTGGGCATGGAAAGTTGGTCTGAGTTCAGCACCAAAGGGTCAACTGTGATAACAGCGGTCAGCCAGTGGGTTTTTATCCTTTGCCATGCTGGGGAAAGCCTTGTCCAGGACGCTGGACAGAGCCAAGTTAGGACTGGACAGTGCAAAGCTGAACAAAGCCAGTCCATGCCCTTTATTGTTGCACAACACAAGAAGTAGTAGGCTTTGTTGAAATTATATGAAATTATATACAGTATTTTGCAAATGTAATTTATTACAAGTTATTTATTTAACATAAGCTTACACAGAATCCTCAACTACTACACATAGTAGCATATTTTTCAGTTGTTAGTGTGCCTTTATTACAGCTTCTATTCTTTTCAGAGGACTTGCTTTCAGTTTTTTAAAGAAATCTGCAGGGATATTTTTCACACCTCCAAAGTTCAGTCTTAGAAGTTGGTTGCATTTTCTGCTTCTCACAATCCACCTAATCCCAAACACATTCAGGGAGGTCTGGAGTCTGGGGTGCTCAGTCCATTGTTTTGTCTGTTTCCTTTTCTCAGTAAGAGCTTCTTGACAGCTATACATCCTTTCAGACTCATAGTGCTGAGTTGTCTTCTTACAGTGGAACAATGGACAGAAACACCTGTGGATTTTTGCAAATCTGAAGCAGCTTGATTTTCTCCTCTCTCTCAAAGATGAAAGCTTTAAATACTGTTTATCTGATGGGGACAGGTTTGGTGGTCTACCAGGTCTTGCACGGTTGTCTTTTAATATTTCTTGTAACTCTGGTTTGTACAAATCCTGTTTTTTCACTTTGACCTTTCCCTTTTTTATGCATGTAGATGATCCTATCACCAGTTTCGTCTTTTGGCCGCAATACTGCCGAGAATTTCCTGTAGACTGAGGTTTTTGCCACTGCTGATAGACCTGTATGACCATACACTTCAATACACCTACAAATTCAGCTACTTCCTTCCCACTATGGCCTTTGGCATGCCCAAATGCAATCGCTCCTTTTTGCCAATCATTAACATCTGCTTTGCAACCTATTTTCCACACATCAAACAAGACATTTACTGCACTGAACCACCTTTTCTCAATCTATGAATTCTGTCACACACCCTGCAGGTATTTATAGCCCGATCATACTCGTGCAACATCATCTGCAGGAGTCTGAAGTTACTACCACCTTAAACATGCAAGGTGGCTAACTTTTGTCCATGGAGCTTAGATTCCCCTTCAGAAAGATCTGCTACAGCTATTTTAGATGCTCAAGAGAGTAAAATAGGCGAGGCAGCAAAGGTGGGTAGCTGTTTGTGGGAATGTTAGTGTCTCTTTGAAAGGGAACATAATGTCAGTGACTCCTTTGGGAGCAGCTGCTGTTGAGAGGACACAGCTGTAACTGGTCTTAAGCTTTCTTAGGATTAGAAGGATGGAAGAGTTGAACTGACAGGGTTACAAAAGCGAAGAGTGGACAAATGAAATTCTGACAGATTTAGTTTTGGAGGTTACTGTGTAATTTTCTGTTAATCATGTTTTCTACTTCTGACACTGAAAATGATTTACTTGATGGCCATTTTTACTGGAAATTGAATAAAGAATAGGTGGTCTCTGATGTTTGCACAGTAATTTATACAAGAAAATATAAGACAGCAAATGTATAAGACAATAAATACAGTGCAGTGGACTACAGACCTGAATAGATGTACTGTACAAATTACACCCGCCCTTCTGAAATCAATGGTGTTAATAAGGTGTTTGTCCTCCTTTGCTCCAGTAACAGCTTCTACTCTTCTGGGAAGGCCTTACAGTAGATGTTGGAACATTGCTGTGAGAATTTGGTAGGTCAGGTACTGATGTTGGATGATCAGTTCTGGATTACTCCAACTCATCCCAAAGGTATTAGATGGAGCTCCATCCCTTTAGAGAACACAGTTCCTCTGCTCCACAGTCCAGTGCTGGGGATTTTATACCCCTCTAGCCAACACTTGGCATTGGGCATGGTGACCTAAGGCTCGTGGCTGGCTGCTCCAAAGTGTCCCAGTCTATTGGTCAGTGCTTTACTATGGCAGATTATGAGTTGTGTGTGTTGAATGGTCCGCAGTTGGTGCACCTTAAAGTAGCTGAATTCACTAGTAAGAAAGTCTTTCTGGGTATGAAATGTACACTCTAGTATTTGCTGTACTGTATTTAGAATTTCACAGCCACATGCATTATTTCTTTAAGTGAGGAGCTCTCATAAGAAATATGGAGTATAGAACAGAACAGTCAAATATACAATAAAGCAGAATAAAAAAATGCAGTAATTATAATAGCGGTTGTGCAAAAGTTTGGGCACCCCGGTCAAATAACATTTAGTTGTTTTTTTTAGGTGAAAATAAGTTAACGCATCCCCTACAGAGAACACACTTCTACACATCTTCACACACAATTACTGTTTTTTTTTCCAATATGTTAAATTCCACAAAATAGGATGTATTGACTTCTTTTCACTTAGAAAATCAACAAAATGTATTTGTCATATTGTACTGAATACAACTGTATTTATTGTACTTCATTGTATATTCCATCTACACTATATTCCACATACAATTATACAGATAAATACATTAATTCTGCGGCCGACTGACGTAAGGAGCTTCCATGTTAAATATGAAATGGAAATATTAAGGGAAATTGAACCATAACAGTAAACTTATAAATGAAGCCTGTGTTAGTCATTTCAGTAAACCAACTCAGTGGTTGCAGGTCAGCCTGAGGAAACACACAGCCATGTAGACGGAGGCGTCTAATGCAATATGTCTAATGCAATATACTTAAACATATATATATATATTTGTGTGTATATATATACATACATATATATATATATATACACAAATATATAAAATGTATAATATTATAGTATAATTTATAACATTATTATATAATAATATATATGATGTAATTTATTTATTAAGAGTATTTAAAGTTCAAAGCTTTATGCCAGACAGATCCTTGTAGAAGTGCCTTTTTGTTGGCTCACCTGCATGAGACAGTAACTTCTATCTTGGTGGCGGGGACGCTGGTGTGGAGCGGGTCAAACTCCTCGATCGATGCCATCTGCTCCTCAAGTTTCTCTCAGTCTCTCCTCCTGATTTCAGCCTCACTCGCTCCGAGTCTCAGCCCCGCATTCCAGTCTGAATGAGAGGCGCTTCCTTCATAGCAGAGCAGAGCAGAGCTGAAGTAGTGAAGGAGCAGAGTGTTCAGCAGAGTCTCCACAGAGCGCGCGCGTCCACAGCCCCGGCTAGACTCTGCACGCGCCTTTGAACGGAAACACAAACCACGCCCATTTCTGCACGGGGGACTCAGCAGCTATGTCAACAGACCGGCGATAATAATAATAATAATAATAATAATAATAATAACAATAATGACAGCAATCATATTATTATTACTTTGACTAACACTTCCATCCATAACATTAATTCTGTTATTGCTTGTAACAATAAAACGATAAAATTAATAATCATTGGAACATCTTTACAACTAATACTACTACTACTTATACTAAAATTTATATAATAAATAATATAATATATAAATAATAATCATAATGGCAGCAATAACTAATATTTTTGACTAATACTAATATCAATTACTACTACTAACAACAATAAAAATAAATAATAATAATAATAATTGGAAAATCACTTCTATTTATAGTACTACTAATATAATAACAATACTACTACAACTTCCACTATTAATAGAAATAATAATAATTATTATTATAACAATAATACTACAACTACTACACTCTTAAAAAAAAGATGGTTCTTCAAGGGTTCTTTAGTAAAGACAATGGTTTATACAGAACACTCAATGGGTTCTTTGCATGGTGAAAGCGTTCTTCAGGTTGATAGTGAATGTGCTGTAGACGATTCCCTACAGAACCTTTTTGAAAATGGTTCTATATAACACTTAAAAGGGCCTTCAATTGTTAAAGATTGACACTGTAACAATAACAGACCCCCTTTTAAAAAGGTTCTATGTAGAACCATATACAACACATTCTCAATCAATCTGAAAAACCATTTTACCATGCAAAAAAAGCTTTAAGCATGCAAATGGTTCTGCCTGTTCATAGTTCTACATAGAACCTTTGTTTTTACTAAAAACAGTCTTTTTTCAATAAACTAATAATTACAACTATTGCTACTTATTGTTATTATTATTATTATTTTTATTATTATTATTATTATTATTATTACCTTTTTTTTACTTTTGTTGGAACCTTTATTTATAGAATATTACAGAGGTCAGCTGAGCAGTGTTCTAGCTCTGTGATAAGGCCTCTCCTATTAGGTAAAGTGTCTTCACACTCCACATTAATCAGAGGGAGGATATTCACCCTGCAATTAGCAGCTTTCCATTAATCCCTCTGGACCAGTTACCCCCAGATTAAGCCTAGGCCTGGATTAAATGGGATCTTAATAGTGTAACATTACTGGCATTGCTGTGCTGTCTAAGACCAGGCCTAAATTTATGACCAGTAAACTGGCCCTGCTGGTCATCCTTTATCACAAGAAATACAGGCTTACATCACTTGACTCGCCATTTCGGGTAGTGCTATGTAGTACTGATAATATAAAATATCATGATATTTTCTGAACACATATATTGTGGTATCTTATGTTTAGGTCTGCATCAATAAAGTTCATGAACTCACACTTCAAGAGTGATGATATTCTGTGCTAAAAGAACGTCCTACAAACCTGACACAGCTTATTCTGATTCGACTCAGAAAATAAACACCAAAAAGAATATTACTTAGTGTATTTCTGCCAGCATGGCAACAGGGATGCAGGCTTCAGTCCCGCTGAGACTGAAAATCACTGTGATGATAACAGTAAACCAATATAGACAATATATCACCAATTTTACACCACTCACCTTTGGGTTACTTCTGATCTAACTGGTGTAATTGGGTTGCATAATTAATCAAATGCTTTAGTAAGTTTGAATCTGCTGAAGATACACTCTAAAAAAATATGAAGTGAAGAAAATGGTTCTAAATAGAACCATGAAAACTCAAAGAACCCTTTGCATGATTAATGGCTTCTTTGCATCATGAGAGGGTTCTTCAGATTGATGGAGAATGTGCTGTAGATGGTTCTGTTCAGAACCTTTTTGAAAGTGGTTCTATATAGCAGTTCTTCAATTGTTATGGTGTCAAGCTTGTAACAATAAAAGAAACCTTTTGGGTGCTATATAGAACCATCTATGGCACATTCATGCACATTTTCCATCAATCTAAAGAACCCTTTCATGATGCAAAGAACCCTTAAAGCACCAATGTTTTTAAGAATGTAGTATTCTGAGATCTTCCTCCTTTCACAAGTAGTTAGAGTTGTATGCAAAAGTTTGGGCACCCCGTCTAATCATGTTTTGTTGATGCACAGATGGAGTTCTATCCCTTTAGAGAGCACAGTTCCTCCACTCCACAGTCCAGTGCTGTGGGGTTTTATACACCTCTAGCCGACACTTGGCATTGGGCATGGTGACCTTAGGCTCGTGGCTGGCTGCTCCAGAGTGTCCCAGTCTATTGGTCAGTGCTTTACTATGGAGATTATGAGTTGTGTGTGTTGAATGGTCCGCAGTTGGTGCACCTTAAAGTAGCTGAATTCACTAGTTAGAAAGTCTTTCTGGGTATGAAATGTACACTCTAGTATTTGCTGTACTGTATTTAGAATTTCACAGCCACATGCATTATTTCTTTAAGTGAAGAGCTCTCATAAGAAATATGGAGTATAGAACAGAACAGTCAAATATACAATAAAGCAGAATAAAAAAATACAGTAATTATAATAGCGGTTGTGCAAAAGTTTGGGCACCCCGGTCAAATAACATTTAGTTGTTTTTTTGGTGAAAATAAGTTAACGCATCCCCTACAGAGAACACACTTCTACACATCTTCACACACAATTACTGTTTATTATTTTCCAATATGTTAAATTCCACAAAATAGGATGTATTGACTTCTTTTCACATAGAAAATCAACAAAATGTATTTGTCAAGGGGTGCTCAAACATTTGAATACAACTGTATTTATTGTACTTCATTGCATATTGACAATGCATATCGTCACTGTCCAATGAAAAACATGTATCTCCATTTTTTGAGATTTTTACTTTTTGCATCATTTGAGCTGAGCAGCTGTCCTTTACATTGTGTGTAAATTTCATGATGACTGGACCAATAGAAGTGCTCCATAATTGCTCAGAATAAAATCTCTTTCCATTAACTTACATTGAAAGTAAAGAACGGTTTTTGCCCTCTCCTGTAAAGATACTTGTTATTCTGTTAGCATTCAAGACTCCAGGCTGAACTGAACCTGAACACAACAAAGAATGCTGGGAAAATTTTGGAAAAAAGGCTCTTCAGTCTGTAGGACTTATCCACATTAACTTAACTAGACCTCAACTGGATTTACCTCAGTAACTAAAGATTATACAAGAAATAGTAAGTGTTACAAGATTTATATTAATAGTTTTAACAAATAAGCAAACAAAAAACAATTTAGTGCAATTATGTTTTACAGTGTGAAGTTGCCTAATCAAAAATGTAACCCTTGAAAATATTCCTCTGTAATCTGATTAGGCATATTGTAAAGGTATCCTACCATAACTACCAGTATTTGATTTTTGTAATCTAGTTTAATTGTATTCTGATACCACCCAACACTCTCCACATCGCAGCACTAATTTCAGGTTGTCTAGCTCTGTCCCGGCTCCCCTGCTGAAGTTCTCCTCACTTTCTCAAGCAAGAGATGTTACCAGGCAGTACTCCTGAGTTGCACTTCATTTGCCTCCTAGAACAGGTAGAAATTGAAATTCTTCACCAGAGAAATCAGTGAGAACAGGGACGTGAGGGGGAGGAGGTGGGAGAAAGGCAATTCCATTTGGCAGATACCCCTTTTCCCAGGGTTCTCCATGTGTTAGGGGACACCACAATGATAAACCCAGCTTTAGCCTAACTGAGCCCATCCTCTGGGCGCTTTAATTGTCCCAGGGGTCCGTCTCTGCTTAGCTTTCCTGTCACACAGTCCGGGCGAAGGATAAGGAAACAGGAATTGGAAGACTCATTACATCCTGAATACAAAGAAGACCGCCGACGTCCTCCTGTCCTTGAGATGCCAATGCAACCCTCGTCGAGAAAGACAAGGTACAGAACAGTTAGCGCCAGGTGCAGCAGCAGTGCACTTAGAGGGGGCTGAAAGACGGCAAAACTGAAAAAGAAAATGGATCTTTACTCAATTTTCTGGCACTCAAAATGATAGTTTGGTAAAATCGAATTTATTAAATTTCATTTTCCCACTTACCCCAGCCAAGACAGGTTCACTTGCTTTGGTTTGCACTGGACGCCCGAAGCTAGATGGCATCACACAAAATGCAAGCCATCAAACACTTGTCTCCAAAAAAAAGATAATAAAAGATAAACATTGCTTTTTTTATGTACCAAAAACAGCCATAATTAACTTCTACATGTTTTCCCAACTTCTCTAGCATTAAACAGGCTGTTTTGTTACTGTGCTATTAAGACTGATACATTTAAATGAGCTCTGTTCTGATTGGCTCCCCTGTATTGCCTCTGTACAGGCTGAAACACTCCTTACAACGTCAACAAGAATGGGTGGAGCTAAACTGCTGTAAACTGAATATGTTTATTAAAAATCTAATTGGCTGAGCCGCGTTTGAGGCTATGGATATCACACCTATGACCGCCTCACAACAGCTGAATTGTGTATCACTGCGCAGCAGCACGGAAAAATCCACGGAAAAAAATGTGCTGTTAATGGAACAATCTTTTACTCTCATGCTGCTCGCATGGACCACCGAGTATATTGAAGTAAGAACCCGTTTTTTGTTTCAACTGCGGGGCTGGCAGCTTATGTTTTTAACTTTAGCTAACAGGCTAAAAGATAGCCAACCGCCTAAACAACTCCATCATTAATATCACAGGCTTGAATTAAAGTACTTATGCTATGATTAACTGCGAAAGCGCAGTATAAAAGTCTAAACAATGTCACTTGAAGGTCTTACATGCTCAAGTGTTCGTGTTTCAGTCAGCAGTAGCGCCAAATCCAGGTGAATCGCAAACAGCTCTGCATTCCCTAAATAGTGTGCTAGCTCGCTATGAAAGTTTGAAATTCTAGACTCTACAGCCAAATAGTGCATCATTTATTGAGTAGGGGATGTGGATAATGTCCCAAATGACTATTTCTTAGCTATATTTTGTACCGTTGGGCTGCAGGATACAGTATTTAAATTCCTCTGTAAGGCCACTATGTAGGGAGCAGGGAGACATTTGAGATTCAGCCCATCATGAGAAGAGGGGCACCACTGGATTGGGGCTAAATAAGACTCGCGGTGGTAATTTGGTGAGCTAAGAGTACTTATAAAGCAAAAGGTTTTTGCATTAAAGAGTGACGTGTTATCATATGTAAAAAGGTTTTATCACAGGGAAGGGAGTTTTAAGCACTCCACTTCCCATGATAAAATCACAGTAAGGCACGGCCTCTCGTGGCTTATTGCTTTATGTTGGTTTTCATGACAGCACAAACACAGTGAATTCAAAATGGGCTGTTTCTGCAGCTTCGTTTCCATAAACGGGCTGAGAACTGAATGGACATTTTAATACTTTTACCATACTTACATACTACATTACTTTTTTTAAGCAAAAACAAACCAGTTTTCCATGATTTAGATCATTTGACACGATTCATGTTATGATCACTGTCTCATCATACATCAATGACAGGCTGTTAAAAAAATAGATTAAACAATCTTTATCATCTTGCTCAAAACCAAAGTTTCAACTAAAGTTGACTGAACAGTTTATCAAATTCAGGCACATGACTTTGCAACAGCTGACCTGCTGTGACCTATAAAATGAAACTTGCATTTAGAATTTATTAGACCGTTCTTAAGGTTCCATTTATCACCATATGTTTAAAGATGTTTAAAGACAATCTAGCACTTTTCAATCTAATCTCTATCTGCCCCTTTTATATCATATGTACAATAACTTTGACACAAACAGAAGACCACCTGATTTGATACAAGGTTATAACAGAAGGCAATGAGCAGGTTGTACAATGTTGAAGCACCTGGCCATTGACTTCTATTATAATCACATTTTACATAAATAGGTTTGCTATTGTAAATGAAACTTGCCATCCGAGGAAATGGACCACGTGCTACAGATGCACGAGACAGAGATTAGGTTGAAAAACACAAGTACTCCTTTAACATTTATCTTCCTAATGTTCAGTTTAAATTCAACCGTTCCAACAGCAAACATAATATGACCTACAGCTCAAACCATTCTGCTAGATTTTGGTGTTACCATGCAACAAGTTTCCGTTAAACACAGAATTACAGCTCAAATGATTCGCACACTTTCAAAAGATGTTGCTGTGATTTCATCCACATACATCCACCCAAGTCAAGGACAATGACACCCAGTTTTTTCAACAGAGGCTGAAAATACCTCAGTAGTTTTTATATTATTATCAAAGTCAGCGACAGGCTTAAAAATGCAAAGGCGTTTCTGAAACTCTTAGAAATCAAAGCGAAGACGCCTGCCTCATTTAAACATTTACAAGCAAACAAAACTGAAGAAAAGGGGAAGGCAATAGGCCACACCACCACACAAGCACACAGAAGAGGAAATGTACACTCCTGTGGTCATGCACTGTATTATTTGAAGAGAAGCTGGAGTTTGGAGGCAGCACGTTTCTAGTTTTTCTGGCTGCATCAGGCACTGCAGGACTGCAGAGTCAAGTCTATAGAGGCTAAACGCTACAGCTATCCACATCCACGATGTGAAAACCTGACAGAGTGAAGAAATAATTCATAACTTCACTGTCATTTTCACTACAGGCTGTTGCCAGACACAGGATGTGAGGATATATTAGGCTTCTGGAGGACAAAATGCTGTAAAGCTTTATCACAGCAAGTATAAAACACCATGCATTTTATTACACTCCCTCTTCTGTGAACTACAGCACCCTCTGCTGGCAGAGAGAAGCTTCAGCGCTTCGATCTCAGTCTCACGTCTACCACTGCTGACAGTGTTTGTGGATAAACGAAAGAACATGGTCTTTGGAGAGTTTCTCAGGATCAACACGGGTTTGGGAATCATGAACTCTGACTCCTTCTTCCCATGCCCAAAAACAGCCTGTCATGATGACACACACTGAAAGAGAGTGAAAAAGAGAGAGAGAGAGAGAGAGAGAGAGAAATATTACATTAAAAACAAGGGCAATTTTCTTAAGCATATTGTGAAAACACATTGCAGTGTAGTTCGGTACATACTGAAACGGGGCTACGGCGCTAGGGTGCATCTCATAGGTTGATGTTTTTGTCTGTTTGTTGAAAAAGAACTTCTTCTTTGAACTCTTACTGAATGCCATCGTCCATGGGTCTGAAAGTAGGACACAGAAGATGAAAATGTACACTGACAGTCCAACTCCCAAACCTGATGCAGTCAATACAGTGACTCAGTGCCTCAGCTTTCAACACTTCAACTTCAAAATTACACTAACTTCCAAACCTAAATGCTGCTGCCTCAAGCAGGCAGTCCTGTCTCGGTGGTGCCCGCACAGCGTGACGGATTTTGGTGATGCGGTCTGTTGGAAGTTGAGCACAACTGAACTTCATGCAGACGAATCCGGCCAAGGCAATGTGTTTACCGAATCAGGAGACAGGTGGCGTTTGCATGATTAATGTCTGCAGCTTGATGCATAAAACATTCAGGTACCACTTTAGAATAAGACTAACTTATAGTGTTTATGAATGGTTTAAAATTAGTTCATTTATGGCTGTTAATCACTGGTCATGACGAGCATCAGGAGGACACACAACACTCAATAACTTCTCCACTACAGGTTTGATACCACACAGGACAATATGCAGAATACAGCAAAACAACAAAAGCAGAAAGGAAAGTCACTGCTAACATAATGCTACCTGTAGCTTCAGTTTTTGAAATGATAAAAAAATAAACAAATAAACATCAAGGACCAAAATTCTAAATATGAGCAGGAAGTCAACTGTTTGGATGTTAGGCCCGAAACATAATTCACACAAGGACGCAAATGCTTCGAGCTACACATTCGGGTTTTGCGCGTAGTTGCGTTAAAAAATGTGTCGGTATCATTGACCGCAACTTTTAACTTGTGCATATGTGTTTAACGGTGCCAAAGAAGCTGTCCCTGAGTCTGACTTGGATATATGACAAAATCATTATCGAAGCGATTTGGGGGCAGTCATGGGCTGGAGGTCAGGGCACCAGCCTTGTGACCGGAAGGTCGCACATTCAATCCCTTCAGGCGACAGTACATGACTGAGAAGCTGTCCTTGAGTCTGACTTGAATATATGACAAAATCATTGAGGTGCCCTTGAGCAAGGCACCAAAGCCCCAACTGCTCCCTGGGTGCCGTGGATAGGGCTGCCCACTGCCCCCTAGTGTGTGTGTTCACTAGTGTGTATGTGGTGTTTCACTGCACGGAGGGGTTAGACTACGGAGGTGAAATTTCCCCATTGTAGGACTAATAAAGGTCACTTAATCTTAATCTTGAAAAGCACCACATAATTTGCCACACAGTGGAGATACAGTGGGGGCACTAAAGTAGCTTCTGTAATGGTGATGCTTCACATTAAAACAGTCCTTTTTATGAGCATCTCTTTTGCCCAAAATAAGAAAATTAAAAACTGTCTATCAGGATTTTATTTTTTTCAAAATTAATATTTCCCCAATTCTAGTCCCACCCCTCTCACCACTGACTGTTTTGATGATATAGAGGCCACTGGGCAGAAAATGGCGGTCATCTCGGCCTGTGTAGGAAAGTCGCGGCATTCCACCTGAACTCTTGGTCACCTTCATTTCCAACCTGAGAAACAGTGAACACACAAAACTGCTCAACACAAACACCACAGCTTCAAGAGGAGCCAAGGTCATGAGAGTCATGCATAGTGCAGACCACTGTCTGTACAGCTACTGACCTTACAAAAATTTTGTCCATCTCTTCCAACCGATAGACCTCTTTGACTCTATATAACACAAATCACATACAGTCCTTTTAAGGGCAGATGCTCAATTCTGAAGACAGCACGAGAAAGAGGAGATCAGAGAAACGAGAGTGAAAGAGGGAAACAAATTACCTTATTGGGTTCATGTCTGACCGGCTAGGTTTGGAAACAGCTTTCACAAACTTCTCTGCCATCTGAATCCTGCAAAACAGACACACCTCCAGCTCAGATACAGAGAGCGACTGCAAGAGATGCAAAGAAAATAATTTCAAGCCACAGCCAACAAACTAAAACTGATATCAGCACAGCAAAGAAAAGGTTCCAATGAGGGTGGCTGATGCTCAAGGTTGCTGTCTAAGCTAGGATAGAGCAAAGCTGACTGATCTCTTATAGCATCCAGATGAACGCTTTTTTTTTCTTAAATCAACATAACTGCAGAGCTTGAGAATTTAACCAATTATGCTTTTCTTGGCAACATAAATGACTGCAGAGCAGATAAAAAAACAAAATGAGCTATTACAATGCATGCTGGCTGGTGACTTGGCCTTTTAAAATTGATCCATAAAAGATACCATGGTCATTCACAGGGTTTTATTCTAGGGTTGTATGAAGCTCTGCTAATCACTCTAACAGAGTTTAAACAATAAATGGTCTTAAAACGCTGGAGTTACTGTAGCCTACAACTGCTAATTCACCAACCTTTAACCGTGAAACGCAGAAAACAAGTCTCGCCTAGCTAGTAATTAAGGTACAGGCAAAGAGAAAGATTTAAGATGAACATCAATGATTTGGAGACAAATGGACTTATTTGCATTTATAATCACTCCAACTGGTTTCCTGATATGTTTAAGTTGCAAGGAGAACCTGTCAAACACTAAAATGTGGCAAGGCTGAAATTCTTATTAGAATTTTCCCGTTTCACCTTAAATGATGCAGCAGTGACATTCTGATGACTCAAGCGCCATTTAAGGTGAAACGGGAAAATTAGAAGAAGCTAAAAACAGCCTCGTAAAAAACAAACGTTGAGAGACATTTTACAAGAAAATAATTCTACTTTTGTTTCCTGCTGGAGATGCGAGAAAAGCATCTATAGCTGAGCTAAAGCTTTAAGCACAGCAAAATAAGCCAGTGTTCATTTATTTTATATTTTTAGCCTATATTAGTACATTTGCACATACTGAGACATATTAACACCCAAGATGGTAAAATGGACATAAAAGATTCTGTCTCTCAAGGTGGTTTAATTTTTGTTGAAATGACAAAATGGCTCTTCTTAAAATTTGGGTTGCCGACCCCTGTACTAGGGAGTGAATGGTACGTTTTAAAACTTTTAGTGTTTATATACTATATTAAACTTTAATTTTAAGAAAGTGAAAAAAATAACATGGTTTCAAATCAAAAAATAAAAATATAACACATAGGATTTAAATACACAATTAGGGTGTTGAACTTGGGTTAATATTCATGTGATATGTAGACACACCTCTGGTTGAAATGCTGCTCTCTCACATCAGTGCCATTCAGCACAAGAGCATCCAGAACATGTACAGCGTTGATTCTGCGCTGGGCTTTACCCTACAAACACAGCAACAGAGTTGCACATCTATACACACTAACTTCACATAGTCTAGAAAAGTCTAGGAGCTGTTTAATATAACTTCAACTATCTTCATTCAAACAGCCTACAATAAAGCATTAAGGCTGACATGGCTTCTATTGTTTTGCTGCACCATTAAAAAAGAAATTTCTCATCACACAGATGGAATTCTGAATGAGTAGAGTGCTGTGGCAGGGCAAAGTGAGAGGAAACCGCAGAAGGCATAATGATTCAATTAGTGGACTAATTCAATGATAATTAACAGATCAATCAATTACAGAACCCGCCGTTAGATGCAGCTTTGCTATTCAAATGCTCAGTGCTTCCTTACCTCCCCCTTCAGCTCCTGTACAATCTCCACACTCAGCAGGGTGTCTCTAGGCAGCTCCAACTTAAAGTTTTCCAGCTTCCTCCAGCGCAGAGGGGCTTTGCCATCCCATGTGTAGATCTGTGATTTCTACACAAATATATAAAATTATGCAAGTTAAACAAACATGTTCTTGTAAACATGTTCTTTTTCTTTGAATTCATTTGAATTTATTTTGAAAGGAACATGGAATGTACACTTTCTCCATTCTTTATAGACACACACACAGAGAGCACAGTACAAAAGTCAGATGGCATCTTTCATTTATTTAATTTCCAGCCAAAGCAGCCATTATGTACAAATTATTTATTTTTCAGGAGTTATTTCTGAGGGGATCAGATGCAAGATAATCCACTTTAAGAAGGGTATAGTCAAAGGAAAATAAACTGCAAATGCTTTTTCACTTTCAAAATCAAGCTGCACTCTTGCTTCAGATCTGAAAAAATCCACAGGTGTTTCTTTCCATATTTCCACTAAGAAGACAACTTAACACTGTGTGTCTAAAGGACGTTTTAATTGTCAAGAAGACCTTACTGAGAAAATTAAATAGACAAAAAAATGAACATATGCAAATCAAACAAAGAAGCTTCTGGTGTTCTCAGAATAATGCACTGACCACCCCAGAGTGCAGATCTAAACACCACTGAAAGTTCTTAGGATTACCTGTATTGTGAGAAGCAGAAAAACAACTAACTTCTAAGTATGAACTCTGGAGGTGTGAAAAAATATTGAAGCAGATTTCTTCGCAAAACTGAAAAGGTCATAATGTTATGCCTGGTCGGTGTATGTGTGTGTGTGTGTGTGTGTGTGTGTGTGTGTGTGTGTGTGTGTGTGTGTGTGTGTCACCCCAAGTCCCAGGAGAAAGATCTGCTCTCCCCCTCCAACGATACATCGATGGTCCAGCACATGCTGCAGTCTATCCAAAGTGCTGGAGTTCAGGGGTGTCGGCCTGGAGTTAAAGCTATCAATGTCCAAACCCTAATAAACACAAACACAGTGGTTTTCAGCCAGGGAGGAAGACTGAGTCATATGCATTTCATTAGATCATACATAGAGAATGTAATACTATCAATTACAGTTGTATGTTATGGACAAAAGACTAGCATTGTGATTATATTGCAACATATTGCAACTACTTAAGAACTTTTATTTTTCTGAACCAAATCTTTGTAAAAAATACAGCTCTGTAAAATTAAGACATTTTAACATAAAAAAGGAAATTGTACTGAATCTTTAGCTCAGAATCAAACGTTGTATTGGACCTGAAAATGCGTGCATAATTTTGCTCCTAGTGTGCATGGATGTATGTTTCCTGTATCAGAAATCTCGTATTGAAACCCTACTGTATCATATTGAACTGAATTTTGAATGCTATGTGTTGCAATTAGAGAGCTCATCTGCACCATCAGTATTGTAAAACTCAATATTTCATAAAAGTAAAACTATACATCATGCAGCCGTACTATCCATGTACTTCAACAGCAGACAGACCTTAACAAGTTCATAAAACTTGGATTTAGGGTCAGAGGAAGAAGGAGTAACTCTGGCTTGATCAGGAATCTGCAATCAGACAGAAAATAAAGTCAGAAGCTGGACATTTCCATGAACCAGCACATCAACCACTAGCATGGTAGTGTATGTTCTAATCTTTTTTAATTCCTTGCTAGAGTATGGCTGTTACGCAGTCATTAAGCCACTGTGATTGGGGTATGGGTTAGCGCTTTATTTTTTAATTTGCTAAAGGGAATTAAAAAACTAGGGTCTGACCAATATGAAACGTGTGTGATCAAAACTCAATTTAGAGGCTAAAAATTCTGCTAAATGGTAGCATCTGATATAATTTTATATTTATATTTTGTACTACAGAAGTTTTGTGAAAGCACTATAATGTTAACACGGTAACAGATGGTATTTAAGCTTGCATTAACAAAGTTATTGAACTCATGCTTCCTGAGTAATGGCACTCCATACTAAATGAAAGTCTAACATAGCTTGTTTTTATTGTCTCTTAAACTGAGACAAAACTGAAGTTCACACAGTACTGTAGATGCTAACTATATTAGAAAACACATTTCCTGAAAGAAAACGTTTTATTTAGTTTTCATGCATCTGAACTCTTCTATCAAAACAATCTAAAGCACTTTGCCATTATCTTCAATCAACGCCACAATTCTGCATGAACCCAATACTGGTGTAGACAATATATTGTCCAGCACTCCCACCATTAAGTGACAGCAGTTCAGTTTTGAGAGTGAGCGAGCGTTCATTTGTACTTACCCCCCACAGTTTGAGACAATCCTTACGAATGTCAGCCTGTCTGGGCTCAGATAATGTCCTAACCAAAATGAGTCGAGGAAAAAAACAAACAAACAAACAAAAAAAACAAGGGAAAAAAAAAAACAAAAAAAACAACACACAGACACACGCAGATAAAATAAACTGCGCACACAGGACAAACAGCACTCTCAGAAACAAAAAAAACAGTGATAAACAGAAAACAACTCACGTGTCTCTGACATAGGCATGGATTTTAGACAGAGCTTTAATCTGCACTCTGCAGTGGCTGTAAGACAAAAACAAAAAGAGCACATGTTCAGGAATAAGACTGCATATATAATATCTGACATTTTCTGAAAAGAATGATTCCTGTCATAGAACAGAAAACGCTAACCATTATTTCACCAATTAGAGTGATACTAATCATAATATAGCATAGACACTTCTTGTATGTATAAAGCCCACTCCCAACAACATTATATGACCAAAAAATCTTGAAAATGGTCTATAGTACATTTTGGCACTAAACGTTTCATTTATTTGTTTAAAAAACAGCAGCATTAAAATAAATGCCAAATAAAAACGAAACAATACAATGTACTAATGTGCTTTAGTTTTTCCACAATGTCCAAAGCTCTCCTCAAGGCCAGTATTTACAGTTCCCATCGCAAACCTAGTTTATCTAAACAAGTCTTTATTAAATCAAGTGCTGCTGGGAGACTAACAAATCCATGACTGGAGTGTAGCGAGAAGTCAGGAAATATCCTGTGTTCTTCTAACCTACATATTAATAATCTTTTTTAAAGCAGGAAAATATTATGTTGCACTTATGTTTACTTGTTTTTGTTCCAATATTAGTTTATTCAAGTTAATTCAAAATAGTCTAACAATGGGAGCAAGTGGAATTACTTTAAGGAAAAATTTGTCTGTGGAATTCCTCATTTAAGTCAAGAACATTTTTCTCTTCTCCTATAAAGTTACATTCTAAAGATACAAGGTTTTGTTATGACAGCAACGTCGCACAAGACAAGCCATTGGATGCCTTCCATAAAAACTATGCTGGTGGCTGAGGTAGAGGTGTGGATGGGAGGACGTTACCTCTCATTGGACAGGACCATGTATTGATAGAAATCTGTGTCTCCTTTGATGATGTCCAGTGGCACCACATCGGTGACGTCTCTCTCAGAGTGTCTGAACTGGTTCAGCTTCAGATTTACATTGAATAAGTACTCTCTCACTGCATCAGAGCCTGGCTTCAGACTCCGACACACCACATACCTACACAAAGATACAAACACAGTGAAGAAGTAGTCTCTGACTGTATCAGGTCCCTGATTTTGACTCATGCATATAGTGGCCCCAAAAGTATCTGGACACTTTAATCTTTGGTAAACCTGAAGTTCTTTATGTAGCTTCCTAAAATGTTTAACAAAATGGTATTTGTTTCAGGGAAGAAACTTTTAACATATCAGACTAATGGTATACTCTTTGTGTGGAAAAAGAACTGAGAAAAGAAAGACCATCTTTGTGTGGAGGAGAATTCCAACAAGACTGAACTAAGACTACTGTAAAGCACAGGAGAGTCTGGAAGTTGGTTTTCTCAAAACTCAGAAGCGTACAAACGCATTTTGAATGCAAACCTGCAGAAACCTGCAAGAAAATAGACTGTTCTGTTTAAAATGACACCGCTTGGTTTGACAACACAATGTCTAACACATTTTAAGTACGGTACAAATGTCCAGATACCTTTTGCAACCAGTCCACACTTTAAACTGTATCATAGCGTCATTTGTGGTTTAAAAAAAAAAAAGTATATTCTGAATTTTGCAACAAATCTTGGCATCTTTGTTTCAGAGCAAGTTGCGAATCTTTTAACTGTGTAATTTGTGATATTTCTGTTCTTTCATTTCTAAAATGTTTCGGTGTTTACAACATACAGCACATAAATAAATAAATGTATTTACATAAATTTTAGGAATTGTCGCAAATATTGCAAAAACATAAACATGGACCACAAATCAGCCCAATTTTCACATTATCCACAAAATGGTCCCATAATCCACAAAACGGCTCATAATGATCACTGGCTCCAACCTAAGACTTGTGGACCCCTTGTCTCACATTATTTTCAACAATTCCCCACCTCAAGACACCTGGTTCAGCTCATCAGGTAATTTTCAAGCCCTTTATGCACTAGATCAGGTGTCTTAGGGCAGGGGGCTCCAATAAAATCAATGTTCAACACTCAAAATCTCAGAAAGTTTAACGCTCCATAGCATTGGGGCTGTCTGAATAGTGGGGCATCCAATCAAAAGTGGCATAATTTGAACAAGCCTCAGGGACTTTAGCTTCTTTGGATTAAAGCTGCTTTAAAAGAAAGCTTCCAAAAATGACCGCACACATCTGCAATACCCACTAGTCAAAGGTGATACTCGTATTTATAAGGCATTTTTCAAAACATATTTAAATAATACACCCAGACCAAACTTTCCTATGCTTTCTTCTTCGAAGTAAACAGATAAGAAACAAAAAGTAAAGTAAAAGTGTAGGTTCTACACTGCCATCTAGTGGAGTATGGAGTTCAGACAGCTCCACCCATCCATCCATCCATCCATCCATCCATCCATTTGTTTGTTTGTTTGTTTGTTTGTTTGAATGAATGAATGAATGAATGAATGAATGAATCTATCTATCTATCTATCTATCTATCTATCTATCTATCTATCTATCTGATTTCAGGCATCTAATGCTTTTTGTATAAGACAATGTATACCATTAGAGAGAATCTAATTCGCATATCAAAATACACTTTCTTTTCAATGTTTTAAACATTCACAACTTCACAAAATTTGGACACATCCCTTATACCCACATAGACACAGTAAACAAATGCTCACACAATGCTACCGGGAGCAATTTTACAGGAACACACTATAACCAAACCTGTCCAGAACTGGATGTAAGGTCAACACAAAGAGAATGACTCCCGTCTCACTACATCAAATAAAATACAGCAGCATACAAACCTCTCGGAGTTGGCAGGCCGACTGGTGACTGGCTTAAAGAGCGAGACTCTCTCAAAGCAGAGATAAAGCAGGTAGATCAGACCCACGCTGAACGGTGTGAACAAGTCAAATGTCTTGCACACAAAATGTCCTCCTAAACACACCCATACATGAAGTGTGAAGGCATGAACATAAACATCTATTTACATTGGAGAGTAAAAACAAATCAAACAATTTCTCTAATAAACACAGTAGCTATACACAGTACTGTGCAAAAGTCAGAGACCACCCATCATTTGGCCATTAAGTGCAAGTTATTCATTTCATTCATTCATTATTTAGGAGATATTTCTGAGCAGATTAAATGAGATATATAAATATAAGAAGCAAGTCCTGGCAGACCACTAAAACTGTTCCCATCAGATAAACAGGACTTAAAGCTTTCATCTTTGAGAGAGAGGAGAAAATCAAGCTGCTTCAGATCTGAAAACATCCACAGGTGTTTCTGTCCATCCTTCCACTCTGAAAAGACAACTCAGCACTATGGATCTTGCAGCTGTCAAACCATTACTGAGAAATGGAACTACACACAAAAAATATTTCTGCAAATAAAAAAAACGGCTGGTGTTCTCAGAATAACGGACTGTCCACTCCAGAGTCCAGACCTCAACATAACTAAATGTGTGTGTTACTCAGATTGTGAAAAGCAGAAAATGCAACCAGAAAAATATCCCTGCAGATATTTTGACAACTGAAAGCAAGTCACCTGAAAAGAATGGATTTCTGTTTCTGTTTCTTTTCCCTGCCACTGAAAATGAACTTGTACCTAACTGCCATTTTGACTGGAAATTAAAGACATGTAAGGGTTGTCTCTGACTTTTGCACAGCATTGTATAAAAGGTTAAACACAGGAATTCAGATTCCGCACCTGTTCTAACGACAGACAAGGCCACGAGGAACTGACACAGTAGGAGTTGCTTGCTGAGTATCTCCTGAATATTCTCCTGCCCTTCCACTGAGAAACCCTGCATTGTTAAATACATCACATCACTATTTCATCCAATCTCAATGCTCTCTACACATTTCTATCAAAGTGCATCCTAATTGTGTCTTAACTCTTAGAAGTCTAGATTTATCAGTGTCATTTTGCTATATATTCAATGTATACTTTTTTTTTTCAAAAAAATGCAATAAACAGTTATGTAATGAATTACATTTATATTTGGTTTATATTTTATATTGACAGGTTCGAGTCTGCACTTCAAATTATGTAAATATCTTCTCAACTAAGTAACCCAAATATGGTATGGATTAAAGGATTAGAATACATAATTTTAACATACTTTCTTTGCTCGTTTCAATGAGCTATGAGTGAAAAATAACTGATATAGAATTATGCTATATTTAAAACATGCTTTTGTTATTGCTGACAATTATTGTGGCTTCTAAGGATTAAACAATACGATAACTCCATTTAAACTCTATCTAACATCTAAAAAGCTACGTCCTGATTTTACTGCAGCAAACTCACCCCATCAGCCATGAGGAAATGTAAGCCTCGCCTCTCCGTGTTCTCCAAAACAAAGTTACGAAATGCAGTGATGTTCTCTGGACGTGTGATGTCACCATCACCTTCTACCCCACCTTCACCTGCAGGATACCATGAGGTTAGAGCACAGGGATACAAGCTCAGGACCAAAATCTTCATAAGCATAATGCTACAGATTCTACTCGCATGAACTAAACAAAAAATTAAGGAAAATGAAAGTCTTCTAAAATCCTTCTCCCTTTTTAAAATCCTTTTGAGAAATCTGGCCCTCCACAGATTGTGGAACAGACCAAGCTTATTAAGCATAAGAAATATGTTTCTGTTTACTTCATTTGTCATAACACGAATAACTATTAAATTAGCATTTTACTTTCTTTACAAAAAATAATCCACTTAACATACAGAGCAATGCTACAGTGAGCGGTTAAACTTCACCATAATAGGGTTCGAAGAGTTCACTGGGTGCAGCGTAGAAGTCCTCCAGTTTGAAATCATTCGCTCCTTTTAGAGTCATGCCGAATCCTTTCGCATGCCAGCGCTTCCGCCACAGAACGTACTCCGAGAATCCTCCGGGCCCGGCACACACGTCCCCAAAATACAGCAACTCCCCCTCCTTATCACGCACCAGGGGTTTCTATACACAAATACATGAATACACAATAAAGTTGAACAAATATTCAGCGTAAACTCAGAGGAAGGCCCACAATATGAGAGGCATTTGAGGATTTCACCCCTTGGCCGTCCTTTGGGTTGGTGAACATGTTGTCAAACACATGATCCATGTTCGCCATCTTCATAGCAGCTCTGAGAGTAAGAGAGAGAAAAAGCGTGTGTTACAGGTGTGACTACAGCCTACACTATATGGATGTGAAGTCGGGTTGTTATTGTAACAGAATCTGCTTTTCTGAGTATACTGTGTATATCAACAGTACTGTATCCTTTATTACAGAGAGTCTATAATTAGGCCTGTTTAATTAGATGTTTTGCAATGTAGCATGTGAAATGCTAGATTTGATAACATTTGATAGCATATTATAAAATGTTTTTTGCCATATTGCCCACCACTAATGTCAAATTATTAACATGATATGAAGATCCTTGTATGTGTGCATTACCTGTTGAGAAAGAAAGCTCCACGTATAGTTTCATACGGGTTGGATCGTGTGCGAGCTCGCCTCATTTCTTCACCTTCTAGATCATCAAATACACTCTGCAATACAATGAGCAAAAACATCCAGTTTTAAAGACAAGTAGGGTCTTTATCCAAGAGCTAGCATCACTTTACCTACACATTAACTAGAACTGCATAGCTTAAAAAAGTCATGTCTGATGAATGAACACCTTTTTTAACTGGTAACCGTTATACTATTAACTCTTTGTTTTTAAATACACACAGCATAATGGCAACACTGTTAATATGATTATAAATTTCCTTGTAAGACAAAAATTTTAAGTCAACCTGAAATCAAAATGGACTTTATTTTACCTTGCTAGTTCTTATCTCTGGTGATTCATCATATTATGCCGTTTGAAAGACAAAATTCTCGTTTCTAAAGACGTATGGCTTTTGCCCTGCCTCTGAAATGGCACCTGAGCTTTGATTGTCACCGTGCACCAGAGAGCAGATAAAAAAAACCTTAACAGGAAATATCCCATTTCACCTGCCCCTCCTACCACCCCCACCTACCACTGAGAGAAAACACTCAGCTAGCTCAGAAACCCTCCATAACACAGTGATTCACTAAGAAATACATGCAGGGGTATATTCATGTTCACTTTAGGAGTTTAGAACAAGTAACTTGATAAAATGCAGTTAAATTATACCTGCACTTAGTACTGACCTACTAGAAAATTGCACTGTGCCCTTTACCACATCCTCTTAAGAATATATCTCACATCATACACAATACAGCATTCATAAATACAACAAAACACAGCATCTAAGCACTGAAAAAGGGATTCAATTCAATTTATTTCATCATCTATTTCACCTTGCAGCGTAGCAGTAGTTGTAACAGATCCTCTGAACAGAACGCCGTCTCATCATCAATCTTCATCTTACTCTGGGATCATACAGAAATTCTGTTATTTATATATTAAAAAGAAATTTTATTTCAAGTATTTTGGGAGCATTTTTGTTGGTGTATTTATCATGAAATGTTCACACAATGCAAAGAACAGTCGTTTCATTCAAATGATGCAAAAGAAAAAACAAATAAGTAATACATTTTTGACCAGCGATTATCTGAAAGCTCATACGCAGTCAAAACTAAATGCCTATACGGAGCCCACTTGCTGGACATTTGTTTGGACATAGCTACTTATTTTTCACATTTCAGGGTAACAGTGAAAACACTACAACTAAGAAACAACACAAATAAAATTATGAAAAAAAAATGTAAACAAATCAAACTATCCTATATGTTAGATTCTTTCAGATATTTAGTCGTTATGAGGAGCCTGTTTTTTTCATATCAGTTCGTTCATGTACCCAGCAAAGCGCAAACCTCAGCTAAAATGTAAATTAAGAAAGTTATTTTAACGAAAAAACCTGGCTTATAAAAATAAACTGATTTAACTGTAAAGAAATCAGCATTAGAATCGGTCGAATTCATGGTCAGCGCAACCCTACTTTGTGTAAGTGGACGTATAGACTGTGTCGCACTACCTCGCCCATAGTCATCCAGTCACTCAGCTCATCAGCATCCGGAATCTCTGTAGAACATTCTGGAAACCATGATACTTCTTCAAGAGCACTGGGCTGAGAGGGAGAGGGAGAGGGAGAGAGAGAGGAAGAGAGAGAGAGAGAGAGAGAAACAAAGAAAGAAAAAGACAAAGAGAGAAACAAAGAGAGAGAGAGACAGGAATGAGAGAAAGGAGAGTTAGGAAGAGACATGACAGAGAAAGGGACAGAAAAAAGAAAGGAACAAAGAAAGACAGAAAAAGAGAGCGAGCAAGAAAGAAAACGAGAGAGAAAAGGATGAGAGAGACAGAGAGGAGAGAGTGCACAAGAGAAAAAAGTGAGAGCAAGAAAGGGGCAAATGAAAAATAGAAAGAAAAGTATAGAAAAAAGAAAAGAAGAAAAAACGAATGAAAAACAACAAGAAAAAAGAAGAAAGGGAAAGAGAGAAAGAAACAAAAACAATGACAGAGCAATACAAGAAAAAGGAGAAAAGAATGAGAAAGAAAAACAAATGAAAAAAACAAGGGGTAAGACAAAAGGAAGAAAAAGAAAACATTAAGAAACAGAAAAAGAGAGAGACAGAGAGAAGAAAAAGAAAGCATGAAAAAGAAAGTGAGAGTGAGAGACAGAAAAAGAAAGGAAAAGACAAACTGGTTAAGCATCAGACCACAGCACATTACATCTGGTGCACTGGACACAGTGAACTTAGTGGTTTAAATATCTGATGTGATGGAGAAGCAGTAGAGTAGCAGTGGCTACTCTGTGGTCATGTTAGAGTACCTCAGGTTCATCCTGCCATTCCACATTGAGTTCTCCCTGAAAGCCCTGCAGGGTCAGCCCGAGACCGCGCCTCCCTCGCTGAGTGGATGCTTCCACAATCTCCTTCCGGCCCTGGCCAAACTTACCCAAACCCTCGCCTTCTTTGAAACCCATTTTGGCCTAAGAACAAGAGACAAAATAGATCATTAAAATGTCTGCAGTGTATGCGCACATAACATATGGCATATAACCCTGAGAAGGATAAAGTACCATGAGTTTCTGAGAGACACTGTTGTACATGGAGAATCTGGAGGAACCCTCAGTGGCATCATTGCTCTGAGAATTCTGGGATGCTGTTGGTTTGGAGAAGCTGGGTCTGTGATCTTCAGCATCACTGAGAGATTCGCTCTGACTGGAATCTGTGGGGGGGTGGGGAAACAGAAATTGAAATCTGTGTTTTGGTCATTTCCATACTCCAGAATAACGGGACACATCCATTATTAGCACAAGGGGGTCAGCATTGCCTGCTGCAGGCTAAATACACACAGATACATGTAAATGAGTTGTTTCTTATGATCACAACAACACTGAACTCAAAATGGGCTGTTTATGTAGCATAGTTAATATATATGGAACGTATGGACGGGAGAGTGAGTGTTTCTCTTTGCAACGTTAGAAATGTTTACTTTGTATTAACCGCTTTTACTTGCAAAAGTGAGAAAAATTGGATTTTTTGGGGGGCCCTTTAATTATAAAAACAATGCATATAATAACTATGTCTCTATACTAGTGACCACAAACTCCTAAACACCAACTGGTGATATATAGTATTATTATTAGTATATTTGAGAAGCATACATCTCTGTGCCTTTCTATACAACTGGATCATGTATGAATTACACTGTTTTTTTTTAAACAGCTAGCGCATTTTCTCTGTTCCAACTTACCAAGCTTCAGAAAAACTAAATATGGTGATACATGTGTATATTAGAATGTCTTCAAGTTTTGTGATGTTATCATTTTGCCATCATCACCAACCCCTACTGCTAGGCTGCAGAGTTGCTTGCTGTTATATAGCTTCAACAGCCATAAAACCCTGGAAAAAAAGAAGGTGTTCTCCCTTGAACACAAAGAGCCAACGGTGCTCTCATTTGTGTCTATGTTTTTGTTTTTATATATTAAAGTGCTTAAGAATGCTTAGATATTAGGCCACAATATATCAATTTCCATGATGTATATGATCTTAGTGGGCCAGGTACCTGCTGGTGGTTACAGTATGATTTTTATACTAATGAGGCAATGTTTTAATTTAACTGACCCTGGCTAGTGGTTCTCTGAGATGACTCCTCATCTTCATCTGAGCTGGCCTCTTCCCGTCGAGCTTTCTTTCTTCCTGACGCCTCATCTGCTGCATCTAACCTCCTCTTCATCATGGCTGCAGGTGGAGAGAGGACCTGTATGAAAACGCAACACATGGGGCGACCAGTGACAACACACCAACACTATTCTTCTAAATTGCACTGAATTGTGCCTGATAATAACTGTGACATGCAACATAACAGCAAGGCATAACACATATCCTAAACATAAAAATCAAAACAGTGTATTTGCATTGCTGAATGCTCTATACAACACAACACAGTAAAAAGTCTAAATAGAACAAGAATGCATTAGAGTAATAATAACACCATTATGAGAAATATCTATAGTTGTCCTACAGGAATTTCTGCAGGATTCCTGCAAGAATCTTTAAGACAGTAGATTCAGACAATTACTATAATTCATTCATTACATGGCACCACATAAGCACAACAGAATCATATAGGGATCGGCATTGCGCAGATGTTTAGATTTGGTTATGTTTTTTATTGGAAAATGTTTAAAAAATGATTTCGGCTAAATGTATTTTATTCTTTTTACTGCATTTATAATCCTATACAAATACTTTTCGCTTTTTTACTTTTTACTTTAATTTCAATGTAAGTCAATGGAACCAGACATTTTTCCAAGTCATTTTTGGCCATTTCCTTTGGTCCCTTCATCATGAAATTTACAAACAGTGTAAAGGGCAATATGCATTTTCAAATTATGTCAAAAACTGAAAACCGACAAAAATGGAGATATGAGGTTTTCTTCTGACAACAGCGGTATGATATTTTCCATAATGCTTTTCCAATGGTAGAGGCAGTCCCAATTTATATACTTCATGTATCAACCCACACGTACATGAAAACTATTGGCTATCTGCATGGGCCCACAATTCCAATGTCATTCCATACCTAGTAAGGATTACAGTATTATACATCACCACAGAACTGCTGCAGACCTTAGAATAGTAGCTACTTAGCTCTTTTCGTAAGCATATGAACCTGTACAGCCCCTGTCATGCATACCCCCTTAAAAAACATGGTTCTTCAAGGGTTCTCTAATATAGGCAACCATGAGTTCTGTACAGAACCATTTCCTCTTAAAGGTTTCTTTGCATGGTGTAATGGTTCTTCAGATTGATGGAGAATGTGTTGTATGTAACCCAAAAAGGGTTCTGCTATTTTTATGATGTTAAACTTGTAACAAAAAAGTACCCTTTTTGGTGCTATACAGATCCATTTTCAAAAGGGTTCCACACAGAACCACATCAATCTGAACCACCACGCAAAGAACCATTTAAGTATGAAGTGGTTCTATACAGAACTCGTGCTTTTAAATAAAATCACTGCCTTTACTAAATAACCCTTAAAGAATCATCTGTTTAAGGGCGCGGAAATGCACTTCTAGGCGCTTCACAAAAAGTGGGCAAATAGAATAAGCTTAAATGAAAGAGTAATGAAAATGTAAAGGGGGTCACCGAAGCAGAAATGTTGTGGGAATTTACCTCTCCGCCTGATAATCTCGCTCAGGTTAAACCTCTTTGCCTAAGTGAGAAAAGTCATTCCACATCCAGCCCCACTTTTCCTTCGCAGGAGAGCTGCTGGAGCTGCTGTTTTGAGTCCTAATAAAGGTTTTACTGAAATAAGAATTCCCGCCAATTGGCTGGATAATGTCTGAGCATGATTCTGTAAAACCAAACCCGGAGATATGAAGCCTCTGGGGTTTCGGTTTCAGCGTCAACAGCTGCACCAGCCCAGCTAGCGTTAGCACACTAGCTAAATATTACCACAACAAAAACACTGTGCTAGCACATTGCTAGCGTTTTTACAGGAAACGTATGCGCTAATGCGGCTAAAAAGTGCAACTCGTCTAAATATCTGAGTTACATTAAACGAATTAAGAACAATTTAATCAGAAACGACTTTGTTTTTCTCAACTGCTCAATGCGAACCCGCGCTTACGTACCGCCAACTGGCGCAGGATGATGACGACATAGGGACCTTAAACAAGTGCCTGACTTCATCGAGACAGGTTTAAAATTAAAAATGTACATTTTAATTTTACATAATTTCCTGTTGGCCTGTTTGTAGTTAACTTATGTTCTATTTCTATTTAGGTCATTGATCTAAACTTGTGATTGTTTCTAGTCAAACTTTAAACGGGTTGTTGACCACTCAGATTTTATTACTACCAACTAGTATTACCACTTTCTTAATATTTTTGCCTAAAATACACTTTTTTCCGTTTCAGAAAGGCAAATTGGTACAATAGTCTTCCATTGCACGTTTATATGGTTGCTGATTTTCAATCTTAAAGGAAAATTCCCCAGATTTTTCACAATTTCAGCATAAATAAATGGTTAAGATCTAAACAAAGTCATTCAGAGTGGTTTGATAAGAAATGCTCTGTTCCAGAGAAACTTAACAAGTTAAAACTGTTCACAGTGGTAGTGATGGGAACCAGACGTCTAAATTTCTAATTTAATGCCTGTAAAAGCTCACAGAAAGATGAATATGATGCCTGAGGCCTCAGTCACTGCTTTACAATAGTATTGCAGTAAGATTATGGCATAAAACACATTTTGAAAAATATTTTCAAGGTGAAGAGATACATGCAGGACATTGTAAGGCAAAATAGTTCCCAAAAACTACTAGATTTACCACTGTTTTATCAATATCAACATTATGTATATAAAACAAAACTCACGCACATGTTGATTTACTGGTCATTTTGGATAGTAAATAAAATAGACATTGTAAAGAAGTCTTTAAATTACTCTACAATTTCACATCAAACTATGCAGAATGGCCTTGTTCACATCTCAAAGAGTGAATTATGTGGAAAAATTGGTGGAATTCATCTTTAATGCTCACTGGAAGGAGATGGTAAAGGTTAATTTAGGCCTGAATGAATGGTTCCCAATCCAGTCCTGTAGTTTGGATGCACTGTAGAGTTTTATGTTTCCATGCTCTAACATACACTACATAGCCAAAAGTATGTGGACACCCCTGCTAATTATTGAGTTCAGGTGTTTCAGCCACAACTACTGCTAACAAGTGTGTATAAAATCAACCACATAGCCACACAATCTCAATAGACAAACACTGGCAGTAGAATGGGTCGTACTGAAGAGCTCAGTGACTTTAAACATGGCACTGTCATAGGATGCCACCTTTGCCACAAGTCAGTCTGTGAAATTTCTATCTTGCTGTGTCTGTCCCTGTCAACTGTATATGCTTTTATCGTGAAGTGAAAGTGTCTAGGAGCAACAACAGCTCAGCCACGAAGCAGTAGACCACACAAACTCACAGAGCGAGGCCGCCACAGCGCCTTATCCTCTTTTGGTTAAATTAATCACTAAAGAGTTCCAAAGTGCCTCTGGAAGCAACATCGGCAAAAGAATTGTTCATCAGGAGCTTCATGAAATGAGTTTTGAAGGCCAAGCAGCTACACACAAACCTAAAATCAAAAACCTCAACCGCACTGAACACCTTTGGGATGAATTGGAACACTGATTGTGAGCCAGGTCTTCTCATCCAACATCAGTGCCTGACCTCACAAATGCTCTTTTGACTGAATGGGCACAAATTCCCACAGACACGTTTCAAAATCTTGTGGAACGCCTTCCTAGAAGAATGGAGACTGTCATAGCCACAAAGGGGTGGGGATGAGATGTCCAACAACCTCATATGGGTCCAATGTATAGATGTACACATACTTTTGTCCAAAGAGTGTACATTGGTCATGTCTAAGACTCTATCATAGAACCAGTGCTCAATGTCATGAGTTAATATTAATCCCTAATGATTTGTTTAGCACTGTTTAGTATTTTGTATGCCTTTTTTTCTTACAGGCAAACCTATGACATCAGAATCAATATCACTTTTATTCACAGGGGCGTCGTCTGGCCTGGGCTTCTGGAGCTTTAGGCCCGAATATTTTTAAGCAGCCCCAAACCTTGTAACACTAACATTTCACACATTGTGCCCCAGACTTGATTACACATCACTTTCATGACAGCGTCATTCAGGAGCACACAGAGAGAAAAGGAGAAAATGCATGCATGCCTGAAATTTCTGTAAAAAATCAAATTTAGAACAGTGTAAACAGCAATCATTTTAAGTTATAAAAGTGAATAAACTGGTGTTTTAAATCTTTATATGTAAGAGTAAGTTAACAGATCAATGGGCCTCATTCACCAACTGTTCTTAAGAAACAAGGTTTTCCTAAAACCCAGTTACACAATTTTACCAGAATTCTGACATTCACCAATGTTTTCTTATCTGAGATTTGTTCTGAGGTAAGAATAGAATCTACACACACTCAAGAGCACAAAGGTGCGAATAATTCTGCGGTTTAAGAACACGTCATGAATCTGACATAGATGTTCTCTTAGGACCTTTCTTAAGAACACATTTAGGAAAAAACATAGAAAGATATTGTCCCATTGTGTGTTTCATTCTGTTAAGTCATTGTTTGAAGTGCAAAAATTAAAATTTTAAGACAGCCAGGATACTTACTTTTATAATTTTAAAATAAAAAAAGCCATTTGAAAACCTGCCCAACCTGAGCCCAATGTTGTACTGTGAAAAATGTTTATGCAATGCATTGTTGGCCCCGTTGGGCTCAGGTGGGTACAGACCTCTAAAAATGTTTATTGGGACACTCACAAAATTACTCAGATGAAATAGTTATTTAGCTCTTAAAATCTATAAAATCTACAGATAAAATGTTCTTGTGTTAGTAGAACATTCGTGAGGAGATGTAGAAATGACTTTATTCATAGCATTATTGGGAAAACAACTCTGTTTTTGACACAACTTTTTCATTTTCTTTCTCTCTTTTCATTTCTCTGTTTTCTTTTGCTTTTTTATGATTTTGTTTATAAGACATGTGAATCAACACTTCTCAATCACTGCAGGTTTTGTTGATGCGTAAATCATCACGTTAAATAAAAAGTACCAACTGCATATTTTATAGGTTAATTTAAAAAGCCCCAGATCCAGATTGCCTTTTTGCAACATTTCAAAATTACTAATGTGCTACTAAAGTTGCTAATGAGCTACA